GACTGGGATAATTGGGATGGGAGTGTTAGAGACAGTGCGATTGGCACAGGACAGAGCGGAGTTTAGGGCTGTTGTACATAGGGTCGCTATGAGTTACAAGCGACTCGACGGCACATAACAACAACAAACAAACATATAAATTATTTATGAAAATACTTACTAGTATTAGGGGCGAAAATCCCAAACAGCAAAGTATACAGTGATGGCTGTTTTTACTGGTAATCTGAAGGTTACGTTGCTAAATTTTAATGATTATTTGGAAATATTTTCAGTCATCAGACCACTCAGATATTGTAATTCTGGATTTTAGATTTTGTAGAAAGCACACATGATTGAAGTTTTGTACATGAAATTCCAAAAGATTTCTGAACTGCCTTAAGTGCATAATTATCCTTATTTCATTGATGAGGAAACTAAGACAAAAAGAGTTTAAAACCAAACCAAAACAAAAGAAAACTTTTCTACATTTAGTCTGAATCTAAGACTATATTCATTGCCTGGGTTTAGCTCCAACTCTATAAAGCATTTATAGCTAAAACTATCCCTTGATCAGTTCGAAACAAAAATCTTTAGTTCAATGACTTTAAAAATCAGAGTGAAGCAGTATATCCAGGGCTTTAGAACATGTTCTTGTCACTTCTAGTCATCTTCTTCTTTTTACTTTTTTTTTTTTTTGCATTTCCGTAAGCCAAGGACAGGTTCAAATGTTCTGTAATGCTATATTATCAAGGCACCACAAACCTTGATCTCACCATTAACCTCAGGTAGTCAATTTCTTTCTGTCACTCAGTCTCACTATCTGTCATGAGGAAATAAGAGAAAGGCTAATAAATATAGTACCCACTCTAAATGTATAGATTGAGGAAACATGAGAATACTGAAGTTATTCAAAGAATCTCAACTGTATGGGGTATATATGGGACAAGAAATGGTCCTCCTTTAAAATGCAGCAAACCTATGACTGCCTTCTCTAACCTATCAATATTCGAGTTTCTAATCAATATAACATCGTAAGGGAGCTTGTCAGGTTTTCGTGCTTAATGAACCAGCAGAATAACCTAAATTTATGTACCAGGCACAGTTCTTTCTTCCTTGGTTAACACAAAGCCAATAGCCACTCTCTCCTTTCCCATGTGGCTCAAGCGAAACACCTGAATAAACCACCAGGGAATCCCAGAGGTGCTGCCCCTGGGCGGTGCTGCACAATGGTGACCATGACCTCTGGAGGAGAGTGGTGTTAGCATTGTTCCCTATGTAATGTGTAACAGGGACATTCCAGTCCCATCCAAAGAGCAAATGGGAGAAGGAGGAGGACTTAGAGCAACTTAGAACTTAAAGAGAATATATAATGGTAGGAGAATGACTTCCGGAAGTTCTCTGCTGATGTGCTGTTCTAATCGTTTTTGGATAATCTTCAGTAGAATCTTGCTTGCATGTGAAATCAATGACACTGTTCTGT